TTATATCCACAAAAGAGCTGACTATACAACATTAGAACAATATTATTTTAAATCCTCTAGAGTTAAAGTTAGGATTTAATGATTTAATAATATTGGAACATCGTCGTCTCAACCAAGCATACAATGTTTATGATCTAATCTATAATCTGTGACCTAATCTATGATCTAATCTATAATCTATGTGTTCTTTATCTATTCTTTTAATTATATACCTTAATCTTTTTGTCATTCTTTTTAGTTATCAGTTGTATATAAATCATAAACGTAGCCGAGCAGTTTTCGATAGTTTGGGAAAAAGGATATCGTTTCGCGATGTTTCGAAAAAGTTATTTCCGCAACGTGTAAGTTCCACGATTCGGATTGCACGCGTGTGCTCGCTGAAGAAGAAGAACGAAGGCGTCACGGGGGACGACAAGCCGGAGGATTTCGCGAGGCAAAGTCAAACAAATCATATAAGATAACATTAAAGTACGACGACGCGACGGAGAGGAGGCTGTCGCGCGATCGGGGGTTGCTGAGTATCAACGATATACTTGGCGCCCCGTTCGATTCGAGTGAGTGGATACCTCTCACTCAACGGACAAAACAAAACGAGTTTGTGAAAAGAGGAGTACGCGGTATGGCTGTAAGAGCACGTAGGTAGAGATATTGCTATGGTGGACAAAGGGGGGAGCGGACAAAAGAAAGAGGAAGAAGGGGGAAAGAGGGAGAAAGAGGAGCGAGCGAAGGGAAAACTGAACACCCTGGGGAGCCGACAGCTCGTTACGCGAGACATGGTGCAACTATCCCGGCTTTTCCGCCCTTCTTTCTTAGATTTTCTCTCCTTTCCGCATCTACCTTCCTTTCTCTTTCTCTCTCCCTCCCCTTTCTTTACTCTTACTCATCTCCGTCTTGTCGGTATCTCTTTTCTTCCTTTTCGTTTTCTCCATCTTTTCCTCCCTCTTCTTTGCATCTCTATTTCTTCTTTCTCTCGCGATGCCTCTCGAGCTCACAGCGGGTTGGAGTAACATCCTCCGCGTATGTATATACATATATACAACGTCTGTGTGTCTTGCGTATATGTATTACTACTCAGTAACAAGTGGGTATTATACCGAGGGTTGGCGAAGCCATTACTGTCCCGAACAGTTGCCCGTTCCGACTAAGGGGACGATGCTGCACCATCGATGGCTAGCGCGGTTTATATGTTGCACTAGTTATCCGTCCCTTATCCTCGGGCTTGCTATAGTTTTCCAGATCGTGGTTACGACGGGTTATCGCGTTGTACTATCACCGAACCAGAACCTTCTCTGCTTACCTGAATTATGTAATAGTTCAACTCTCACATTTGAACACACTGAGCACACTCATGACGTTTGCGTTCGTAAGATCAATGAGGAAGATTAAGTAGATTGCACCAAACAGATATACTTTTAAAAGCTATATTTATGTTGCCACAAAATTAATCCGTTTTGAGATTTTAATATTATTTCTAACATTGAATTTTGTTATCAGCTCAATCTTGTTTTACCTCAAAAAGAGTATTTTTAAAATAGATTTAGCAATCAAAATATTAATTTATCAACACAGCAAATTTTTTAAATAAAAGTTTTCAATTCCTTTATATCAAATTTTTCTAACTGCTAATGAAATATTTTGTTTACTTAGCAATAAATATACATAAAATATATATGCAGCATTTGACACTGTAAAATAATAATTTTAATGATATTCTGTCTCAGATATAAGCGACATTTATTTTTGAATGTTAATTTCTTGTAAAAAAAAAGAAACATCACGTATCTCCTTGATTAAAAATGGATCTTTAGTTGCCGCGAGCAAGTCTGTGCCTCCAATTCGTTTCCTTGTTTACGAAACTTCCAGACAATTATCTGAAGTACGCCTCGCATTTTCCCAAAAAGAGGTAAAATCCTTGCCGGAGTCTTTTTTCGTGCGTTTACCGCAAAGGAGCGAAGCAGCAAAGGACTGAAGCAAAGGAGCGACGTAAAGAGGGTAGAAGGGGGCAGAGAGGCTCGGTAATGACTGTCGCTACTTTTCCGCCGTGTCGGAAGCGCATTGCGCCATTTCCGTCAGACCGGAAGTGCGGTAACAAAGCGCTTCCGGCATGCGGTCTCAAGGAGGTTGTTACGACGAGCGCGGGAGCACTCGGTGACATTTCAATGAACTTTGCGGCGGGTACCGTTCTCCCAAAGTTCAGCGGGTCTAACATAGTAACGTGCGTTTCGGGTGTTGACGAACCGGCGGTATTAAGTGTCCTATTGTGTGCCCTCACGAGTGATATTAACTTGACTTCGCAGGCGAGGCGGAATCAGGAGTCGTGTGTAGCCGAGCAAAATCGCGGACTATTAACCTCATTCTTATAACAAGAAGAGCATTCGTTAGTTGAACATGCCACAGTCGAGTGCATAGAATCGTGTAGACTTGTTTCCAAGCTATACGCGTTACACTCGACGCAACGTATTATACGTGTATTACAGATCACAAATTGTCAAGATTCATATTCAGATCCCTATTCAAGGAACAATAAATATGAAATTTATTTCATCAATTTTCTGAAATTACACATTTGCAAGTATTATAGATATGCGTACGCGACATTAATAGGCGTATCCGTACACGAATATAAAATAGAGCATATCTCTTCTATAATATATTTACGGTAAGTAGCCGTATATCACGGAATCGCGCCAAACACGTACGAGTGGAAAATAATTTCCTGGCATAGTTTCCGATCTCGAAGCGTGCACTGGCACAATTTATTCAAATCTTTGCAACGCGAAGATGTAAAATAAAAGTGACGCCTGGGAAAAAGCTGGCGTTATTTTATGAAAATTACATCTCTCGTTTCATATCCGACTCCCAAAACGTTGAAACTGTATATGTTGCACTCGTTACAAACATTACGTGTGACGTATAATGCCAGTTGTGTTATTTCGAGCATCATATGCATTCTCACATTAGCTTGTATAAGCTGCAGAATAAATGTCGTACACTACATCCAGAAAGTTTGGAAATTTGAAAATATCAGTTCCAGAAACTTCGATTATGAAGTCATCAATTGGATCACGTCGCGCGAGTTCGAATTATCCGATCTGTTCTAAAATAGTCTTATTATTCGTGACCCAGATTTTAAATCCAAGTTTCCTTTCTATCTCTAATAAATCAAATTCATTACTCTATATTTATGAACATGAATCTTTAGTACAATGTTTATCAGGTCATCTTAAACGATACTATAATATATTAAGGATTATTCGGCAGATCTTTAAGTCATAAGGTAGAAAAATATTGCGTAAATCGGACTAATTTTTTTATACCAAAAATAAAAGAAATAAATTTAAAACCATCAAAAAACGAAAAATAATCATTACATACAGAATAAAAAATATATAGGTTACTATCTTCGATATGAAATCGTCTTGAGGCCTTGTCGAGTTATCTCCGCTTTATATTATTTGTGAGAATATTTTATTTCTCACAGACAAAGTTCCGAAGTTGGAATGCAAAATTTTGGCACTGAAACATTCTGCGTTTGTGATAGATGAGATTTAGTTGGAACTTCCAAGCAAGGTTGTCATACGCAACATAAAAGTGACGTTTGTCCTGATTTCAAGTCTACCAAAACGTTCTATTTCTCACAATTCAAAATTTGTTTTTCCCGATTTCTGGCAAATGTTTCTTAGCCCGAGATTGCCAGACACCTTATTCTCAGATTTTCGAGACGCGTGATTACCGACGGCATTCGCGGGTCGTAATTTCAGCCACACGCGCGTCGTAAATTATGTCCCTTCGGGTTCTGCCACCCAAATAAAACGCTGAAAGGGTCAGTGAAGAGGGATTTGAGTGAAGAAGCTAGCCGGCAAGTGGTGCGCACGTGTTATAAAAACATATAAAATGCAATGGTAGACAAAAGTGGCGAAAATAGCAGTAGGAAAGATACAGAGTACGAAGAATAGCAACAGAATGAGAGATGGGGAGGAGGAGAAAGAGAGAGAACGTGTCACCGGGAGAAGAGAAAGGATACAATTAAAATTAGCGCAATTCAGTCACTCGCCGGTAATTCGCATGCCTGGTATTTATATTATTAAGTCGCGCAAATTTCTCTCGTCACTCTACCCTTATCACTTTTGTATGCGTGCACTCGTACAACTATTCTATCCTGCTTGCCCTATCAGCTATTTCACGTTTTCCACGTTATGCTTCCCGCGCGTTTTCTCGGCGCGACCGAACGTTGTCGGCCACGATTATCGTCGTCGGCAAGGAAGTAATCCCAGGTTTCGAAGCGAATTACGTTTAATTACTCTTATTGCTAGGGTCAGTCGGCTTTATTATTCTCTCTTCAATCACGCCCTCTGAACGCGTCGTCATTTGACTTTTTAAGCTGTCCCTCCCACCCGCGCCCTACGTCGACCCTGCCGACGCGTTTCCACATCCGTGCTTTTTCTATGCCTGGCAAAAACAGCGCATTCCAAATGAACGTGCGAGCACGGCTACGAGTAATTCTCGTTAACCCGCTATTTCACCCTGCCACGCCGTAGGCCGAAAGGATTGGTATTATAAACGTCAACGTCAACTCGCTCGCAAATGGATGAACTATTTCAATTCTTCATGTTAGAATCATTTCCGATAATGTTCGTAATGGTGATTTTCAGCGCTTCGTTCATGTCACTTTGTTATAATAATATCTTTCTCTCAATGATGTTATTTTAAATATAAAAAAAGCTACTTTTAAAAACATCCAGAAGATAATAATCTTCAAGGCATAACTAAATTTAACTATAACATAATATACTATATAAAAGTAAAAAATATAAAATTAAAATTTTTAAGGTGTTCCCTGAGCAGTCCACATACCAATTCGCACATTTTTGCGCGCGCGCGCTCCTCTACTTACATAAAGATTAAACATATACGATGCATATAGAAAGAGCAATTTAAATTATAATAATGACGTATAATGCAATGAAATAATATCAATAAGAGCAAACAAATCTTCTTACCTTTGGATGTGTTCTCCTAGGAAATGCTACCTTTGGGTCGATCTAAAACAAAGAAACGTCGAAAATTACATAAGCTACTAAAACATAATTAATGCAGAAAAACGTCATGAAGTAACGTATATAAAAATTTATATATAGCAACTTGTTTCAGTTTCTCGATGATAAATCTCAAACTGCCTCGAAAGCTCTGAGTTTCGCTGAGGATATAACCACGAAAAGAACATTATGCGCCACATGCGAATTCAAACTCGGAGACAAATCTTGTTCGCCTGCAAGTTTTGTGGGAGAAAGGGTGAGGCAAAGGGAAGAAACAAATATGAAAATACGACAAACAGAAGAAACAATATGAAAATAGGTATTACACTCAAACGCAGTGGGAAAACGTGCAAAAGAGAAGAAACAAGAATAAGCGAACAAAAGGGGAAGCTCTCGAAGGACTGTTTTCCCAGTTGAAATCCCCATTACAATTAATTACATAGTAATAAAGAGTAGAGAGAGGTGCTCGAGAACTCCAAACCGAAACCTCGGCTACTGCCGCCACTACCGACGTCTTTTTTTACTTCGCGGACGATCCCGAGGGGAATGAACAAACCCACTAAGTTGAACATAAGAGCACCTTACGTTCTGCGCTTTACTAAAAAGGTTGAAACCGTCCTGACCGCTCACGAAACCACAGAATTTCCGGTGCGACAGATGCATAAATTCTAACGCGGCGGATCGGTCCACTCAGACGCGCCTTTTTGTTTCTTTAAGCTCGATACCAACAAATCTTTAAAACTAAAATCTTTCTTATATTTAAAGTTTATGAAATGGGTGGGTTTGATAATCATAAAAATATCATAATAATATAAATTAAATTTATATTATATGTAATATTACATTATATGTATTATTAGCATTATTACACATCATTGTATATGACTTGCATTACTTACAGTATTATGAGATAAACAACATCATGAATATTAAGCTCATGGAAATCCGCAGGAGTATTTATTGTTAATACTAGAATCTGGAAATACCATCCTGCTACTTAAACGCGGTGAAGGGATCAGCTGATTCTGCCAGTTGTTCTAATGCTAAATGAAACAATGTCTCTTCTCTCTCTCTCTCTCTCTCTCTCTCTCTCTCTCTTTCTTCGCATTCTCAATGCATATTCAGTGCTAAACGTGACTACTTAGTTTTGAATTTCACCACGCTATGTTATCATCGTTTTGCCAACTAGAAAACCATTTCAAGTCATAATGAAGGTTCTTTCTAAACGTAAAATATATTTACAGCAAAGAAAAAATTAATAAATACACCGCACATTCAACAAAAATATTAAAATAAATTAAATATAAGGGATTTCTTCTGATTTATCGATGTATTATTAATGCAAATAACTTTTTATGTTATGTCTAAAATTTGATTACATATACAACATAAACAAAACACTCTACTTTAAATCAACAATTCAACAACTGCGTGGTAATTCCCTAGAAATTCTCAAAATGGCTCTACCACACTGCAGTTCCCGGAAACTTACTCATGCAAGCTATAAAATTTTGATTCTTCTGTTTTGCATTTTCGCGAGACAACGATCTCGATTAATATTATTAGATTAGCGTGTGGTTTTTGGCGCGCGCTTGTAATTAGTTTTAAGAGCGTCATTGACGCGCTATAAAAAAAATATATTCTGTAAAACTGAGTGAACGAGAATTTTTACAATTATTCTCTAGCGCCAGGCTTCCTCGAAACAGAGAGCGACCGACACCCCGGGCGGTGGAAGCCACAAACGTGGTAATGACAAGCAAGGGAATCCGCTCGCCGCGCCGCCATCACCACCACCAGGCACCGTCACCGTCATCATCCACCCCTACGCAACGCGGCGGTTCTCTCTATCTATCTCTCTTCCTATACTCAGAAACCACTCCCGTTTGCATAATCCCCTACGGCGAAGTTCACACCGGTCGCTCGCACGCTCCCGGACAAGAGAGGTGTCTCGACATCGTTGTCGACGACGACGACAATGACGACGACGACGAGAGACGTGAGACGTGAGACGTGAGACGAGAGAAAGTCTTCCTGCCGTTCTTTCGCTTTGGTAATACCTCTTCTTCTGATCTCGTCTTCCGATATAAGGGAAAAGTAGGCGGGGATGAAGGAAGTGCCTCTCAAACTTCACTACTGCACCCGCAGGAGCTATTTGCAACGGATTTCGCTGTACATGTCCTCCGTCGGATACGAAGTTGCGAGCTATGACTACGATTTGGATACATATACATATTGAAAAATTGGAATAACCGATAATATTCCTATTTCATAGACGCAAGATTAAACAAAACGGAAAGGTTACTTTTTAGTTACTGATCAAAAGTTAATCTTCTTGTAATATTAAATATAAATTATTACAGGTTTTTATAATTCATTTCTCACAACTTTATTCTTCTACAATGTTAACATTTAATTAAATTTCTGTAGTTTCTTTGATGGTTATTCTGAATCGATTTTATGCTTGTATTTGACATATTTAAAAAATTCAACGTTTCAATTCAAGATCTTTTCCCTGTGATATAAATTGCATTGCAAAATAATAATAAATACCAAAGAGATATTATCTGCCTTTTTGTAACCGCTTTTCTCTATCTGATGTAATAGACGTCAACGAGACGCAATTCGTGGTCGTTCAGTCGATCAACGTGAGATTTTTCGATGTCTCATTCATTCGATTCGTCTCATCGAACGATGGTTTCGCAAGGGCAGAACAGAGAGTTGGTAACGAGGAGATAGAAAGCGAAACGAAGAGCAAGGAAGACGGAGAAACATGTAGACGCGTGAAGACACAAGTGAGAGAAAGAAAACGTTGCCGGGAACGAAGAGGTAGCATTACCAAGAAAAATCGAGAGGCTCGAAGCCATTTTCGCAAACATAACCCAGTTACCCGATATCTCGCGAAATGATCGGCCGCCAACCGTCGTCGTTGTCGTCGTCGTCGTCGTCGTCGTCGTCGTCGTCGTTGTCGAAGACGATAGAAATTCAATCTGGTTGGCACGCCTGGAAATTGGAAGAGCCACCTACCCCTGGATGCTTCTACCCTAAAGCGGCGCGGTAGAAAGGAGAGCCTCGAGTCGGATCGGGAGCATTTGGAAAAGTAATTCACGACGCCATTCTTCGCGACCTCCGTTCACCCCTTCGCCACCATCCCCTCGTCGCGACCGTAAGCGGTGGTCTCGCATCGAAACCTCAATCCCCCGCTCCTCGCCCCATTTCTCCCAGGGCAAACTGTGCATCCGCGGATAACGCGAACGAGAAATTTCACAGGCGAACTCGCACTAATTCCGTAGGAATTCGAATGCTGGTTAAACTGTTATACGAGGTATGTGGTCGCGCTCGCCCATATCAAAGACAGAAGAGACGCGGAAATAGCCGGGGAGGCCGTATAATGTTAAAGTTTCAATTATAACGCTGAGAACGAACGACTTCTGGCTCGAATTACGAGCAACTTTACTAAATTCCAAAGCCGACGGACACACAAATCATTCGAAAACAACGAATATCTATTTTTGAAAATTCTGCTAATGTGCGGATCTGCTTTTACATGCAATAGTAACATAACGTTTAATCTTAATTGATATTTACAGATGCAGTGGACCCGGACATTTTCTTCAATTGCGTTGTGAAAAATTGTTCATAAAAATTAATGGTTTTTTACAATGACACGTGAAATAAACATATTTAAATTACATGATCTTGTCCCAATATTTTTCGTAATAAATTAAATTATTTACAGTTCTTAAGATGCTTAGATCAACATCAAATTATTAATATCGTTTTAAGATGCTAATCAGTATCAAAAATTATTAAATTACTTGCTAATTTAATGTGTGATATTACTACTCCAATTCTGTTCATGATTGCATTTTAAGACCGAAAAAGATTTTGGCGGTTTGCAGAATTGGTTAAGTATGTAAATTCACTCTGAAATATTTAAATACTAAGATCCACTTTGACAAAAATAGATTTATTTCTCTTAATTGATTTATTCTTGTCGGTCTAACACGAATTATAATTATTATTCCTCGGAAATATTCTGATCTTCAAAATTACAAAAAAAATCATTCAATTATATTAATTTTAAGCAAAGATATATTAATTAAAATACATTGGATCCGCGCATATGAGTTAATAAAATTTCAGAGCGAATACCGATTAGGATTAAATCGAAGAGCGATTACGTGCGATTACAATAACGTCCTTGATAATATCTTCAAAATTTGAATGGCTATTGCCTCTATTATTTCGATGAAATAAAAGGCAGCGGCTTTTCCTTAATGCCACAGATAAATCACAAGAAAAGAAACTATTTCTTTTAATTATCCTATCAATTGCCAAACATTCTTTATAGAGACGAAATTCTCCGCCCTGTAGTTTCTATTTCTACGGGGTGGCGCGGCTTTACTATTGGCTCGTTAGCTGTTTAAACAGAGAGCGCGTTTATAATTTATTTCTACTCCGAATTTCCGTCTCCGTTCGGACAACATCGAACTCGCGCAGAGAGGCGATCAGTCTCGTTGCTGATAGATACAACGCGGAATTCATCGGCGATGTCATATTTGGCGATGTGTGGAGTTTTGGGGAGAGACGAGAATTATTATTAAATTTCGGAGAGAGAGAGAGAGAGAGAGAAGAGATCGCCGATTCGTTTCCATCCTCAGCATCGATGATAACGGCGATATCGTTTGCCCGCCTCAAATATCTGGTTAATTCGCTCGGCAAATTAAAGGCAAATACGCGACCGCGATTTTGCAACGGATCATTTCCACCGTGCCGAACCTGCCGTCGCTTTTTCCCGTTTCTTTCCTATTATCTCATGGTCGACGTCATCATTGTGAGAACGGAGACATTATCTAAGTGCATCCATGGGAAAAAGGTAGTTAGTCCTCTTTGGATTTGTTAACTTTCATACTGAGAAAAAAGATATAGTATTGGTAACAAAAAAAGAGAGAATTATTCACAAATGGCCGATTATCATTGGATTATTTTGTTAAAATCACAAAATA